ATATGGTGTAGATGTTGGGTATACTTGCTTGAATTTAGTTCATGAATTGGTTGAATATGATCCATATGAAAGACTGCACATCCTCTGTAGATTAAGAAAGACTGCACATCCTCTGTAGATTAAGCATATAATGTGCATATACCATGCATATCATGTGTGCATGTTTATGTTATTAATTTCATGTGCGTATAAAACCTTATGGTTGTCATTGTTGGATTCAAAGGCTGTGTTGAAAATCTCTTAGGTCCAAAGTCAAATCTTATCCTCTGATGAAACTCGTGTGTCCGCCCGATGAGGTCTTTCTTGCCACCATCTTGTGTCTATCATACAAGTCAAGGTGTCTCTCTAATATAAGAGGGCGATTTTCAAAAGATTAGCTAAAGAAATTTTAGGATTCTTGTTTCGGTCATCTTGTTGACGTGGATTGCATTGATTGGTTTGGGCAGTTGAACCGCTATGATATCCTTAGGGCTATTAAGGATATAGTGACCGATGATTCCATATCCTTCCTATTTGGGGAAGATGTTGCGACTTAATTTCGGGAGCCTCGAGTTCTGGTTGATCACAGGACTAAAGTTTGGAAAATTCCCACTGAAAGAAAAGGATGAAGAATGTCGTATAAGAGAGACGTATTTTAAGGGAAAGAAGAAGATATCGCTAAAACAATTGGAAGACCAATTCGATGGCTGCCAAAACCAAGATGATCTGTACAAGATGGGGCTACTTTACCTCGTCCACTTCGTTCATTTTACATGTCTCAATTATCGAGGTGTTGTAACGTGCACTTGTTGTTTCGTGGTAGGGCAGACTGCGAAGTTTTCTTACTTAAATTTGCCGACTACCTATCCACTGGCTTAGCCATCGACAATGTCGTTCCGAAGAACATCGGGTTTTTCAGACTGAAGCTTGCAGTGCGTTTCTATGAAGTCATATTCGGACAACATTTTTTTGTTACATTTTTCAATTCAGTTTGTTTTAAGTTTCGTACACTTTGCTGTTTATTCGCTTAAATATTTTTGTAATTTTAGTACTGAGCGGATCGGTGTTTGTCTTACCATGTGCATGTTTTCATAATTTTACTACTTAGATGATCAATGTTTTTCTTGCCATGTAAATGTTATTGTAATTTTAGTAATTTCAGTATGCAGTGTGTATACCATGTGCATGCGCTGAGCATGCAATGTGCATGACATGTGCATCATTTGATCATGTTTTGCGCATTTTTCAAAGTCTTAACTTGTCCCAAGATTGAGCAAATGACTCATTTCCCAATCTTATTGAACCAATTAAACATTAAGGTCCTTCTTATGACAAACCACACATGGAATGTCAAAATATAAGAAAATTTGAAGGATGCACATATGATAACTGTGAACTAATGAAACATTAAGGTCCTTCTTAAGACAAACCACACATGGAATGTCGAAATATAAGAAAATTTGAATGATGCAAAAAAGAGTTCAAATTATCCATAACACGAAAAAATCGTAGAACAATCTAGCGAGCGCCCCCAACAACAAGTGCCTTTTAGTAGCCAACAGTCGCCCATTTTCAGTGGACATCCATTTTCATTTTGTAGCGGCGCAATATCTCAAACTCCTCATGAAGTTCCAACCGCTAGCCTTATTTGTATTGCTCTCCCATTGCATCAATGTACGCAACGGATGACATGAACTTCTCAATCTCTTTTGCCGTCATCTTCACGGGTCATGGGCAACAAAATCACAAAAGAACCCTAATCAAAACATGAACTCAATATTATTGTTGAGTGAAACCTAAAGTAAAGGAGTGGAGCAAGGAAGTTTTTGGCGATGTTGGCCAAGAAAAGAAGCAAGTAGAGGATAAACTATTGGAGCTTGATGCTACAGAGATGAGGGAGGGTCTTCATCTCTCCTTGAAACTAGAAAGAGATGGTTTACGGGCAAGACTTGAGGAGTTGTTGCTTGAAGGAAAAAGTCATTGGAGAATTAGAGCCAAAGTTGAATGGGCTCAAAAAGGAGAAAGTAACACTAATTTTTTTTTTCTTCACAAAATTGCAAACGGGAGAAGGAAAAAGAATTTTATTGATAAATTGGAGCTAGAAGGGCGAGGAAGTGTGGAAGATGTTGAAGTCATCGAACAAGAATTGATTCAATTCTTTGAAAAACTTTAGTCCAGAAATTCGAAGGTGAGGTGGGGTTTATAAGCATTGATTGTAGTCCGATCAGGGAAGAGGAAGCAATATGGCTGGAGAGGGCTTTTGAAGAAGAGGAAATAAAAAACGACAGTGTTCTATTGTGGGGTAATAAATCACCAAGTCCTGATGGTTTTACTGGGGAATTATTTTAGCAACATTAGAAGGTGGTAAAATTAGATATTGTGGGGGTTTTCAATGAATTTCATGGTAGCGGAGTCATCAACGCAGTCACAAATGAAACATACATTTGTCTTATACCAAAGAAAGTAAATTCAATTAGTGTTGCTGATTATAGGCCTATAAGCTTGGCAATGAGTTAAGACAAGATTTTGTTACAAGTGTTGGCCTTTAGACTAAAGGAGCTAATTAGTGTCACAGTCTCATAGGCTCAAGGGGCTTTTGTGAAAGGAAGGCAGATTCTTGATACAACTCTAGTGGCCAAAGAAGTGGTTGAGGAAACAAGGGTGAAAAAGAATGAAGGTCTTGTGTCCAAAATTGATTTTGAAAAAGCTTATGATCACAATGATTGGGATTTCTTAGTTAATGTGTTGGAAAGAAAAGGGTTTGGTGATAGGTGGAGAAAATGGATATTGGGCTATTTGAAATCTACCAACTTTTCCATCATAATAAATGGTTGACCAAGGGGTAAGTTTGGAGCGTCAAGAGGATTTAGACAAGGCGATTCTCTTTTGCCTTTATTGTTTAATATTGCAATAGACATCCTCAGTAGATTACTTCCAATGTCACAATCTTTTTTCTATTTGGCAGTGAGTAAGGTTGGAAATTGATTCTTTTTGTTCTATCTCTGGATTGAAGTTGAATAAGGGCAAATGCTCTTTAATGGCTATTAATGCGGATGAAGAAAAATTAGAGAGTTTGGTTGGTTTGTGGGGATGCAAAGTGGGCTCTTGGCCTGTCAAGTACTTGGGTCTTCCTTTAGGAGGTAATCCTAGAACTCTCTTTCCAGAACCCAATTGTAGAAAAAGTCAAAAAGAGATTGCAGAGCTGGAAGTGTGCCTTTCTTTTACCAATTTATTTTCTATCTTTGTTTAAGATTCCTAAAGAAGTAGTCAGGAATTTGGAAAAAGCTTAATGCGGAAATTCTTATGGGTTGGTGTTGGTCAAGATAAGAAAGATCACCTCATTAATTGGGAGACAGTTTCAAAACCGAAAGACAATGAGGGTTTAGGTATTAGAAATCTATTGGTAAGAAACAAAGCTTTGTTAGCTAAATGGTTATGGTGTTTTCCAGTTGAAAGTGATTCCATCTGGCATAAAGTGATTAGAAGCAAGTATGGTCTTAATGACAATGGTTGGGATTCCAAAATAGTTCAGTTTGGAACAAGTAGAAGTCCTTGGAAGGATATTTCCCAAGGGTATAGTTCTTTTCTGGAGTGCTGCAATTTTGTTCCTGGTAAAGGAGATCGAATTAGATTTTGGGAAGACATTTGGCTGGGCGAAAGATCTTTACAAGTCTCATTTCCTAGATTGTTCAACTTATCCAGATTTCATAACAAGAGTATTTTTAGTGTGGCTAGTTTTGCTGAAAATCCTTTGAATTGGGACTTTGGGCTTTGAAGGAACTTGCGTGATGTGGAATTAGACGAATTGTCATCTTTCTTGACAAGTTTGGATCGGGTTTGCATTCACCCCTCAAAAGCTGTGAAAAAGTCGAAAAGAAATTGGATACTTGGTTCTTCAGGAAGCTTCTCTGTTAAATCTTATTGCGATTATCTTCTCAAAAGCTGTGCTGATAGGAAAATTAACACTTGTGACATGCTCCAAAAAATGGCGACCTAGCTCATGTCTACAACCTGATTGGTGCATTTTATGCAAGAAAAGTTCAGAGTCTATTGACCATTTGTTTCTTCACTGTTCGATGGCTTTAAACCTCTAGTTGAATTTGTTTAAGAAGTTCGGTATCAGTTGGGTTTTACCCAGGCATTGTTATTCTCTTATTGTAGAGGAACATAAATTATCAGGAAAGGAGAAGAAAATCAAGGTCTTATGGTGATGTATAGTTTTAGCTACTTTTTTGGGTCATTTGGATGGAAAGAAACAAGCATATTTTTTAGGACAACAAAAGATGTAGAAGGGAGGATATGTGGGATTATGTTCGGTTATGGTCATCTCTTTGGGCTTGGGTTACTACAGAATTTAGAAATTTGTCTTTTTTTTTCTTCAGAAATTTGACGTAACTGAAATATGGCTATTAGTTAGTTTTGTGTTGTTTTTATATTTTTTAAATAACTTGGTGATGGTGCTATTTATCTTGTTTTGTTTGTGCCTTTGCGGACTTCTTGTGCCCTTTTGTATTTTTATTGTTTCTTTGCAATAAAAATTTGTTCTTCAAAAAAAATTCAGATGCACAAAAGGGAAAGATTTTTCTTGTTTCCGATGGTTAAAAACTACCAATTTTAACAATCCATCACCAAAACGCACAAGGATGGTGAGCAATTTTCTCATATTTCTCAGCAATATTTTCTTCATCCATGTGGGGGTTAGAGGGAGTGTTTTTACAAGATTCACCGTATGCTGAACAACACTGTACTAATCAAATAACAATTAAAGTACGCTGAACAACGCAGCAGAAATGATTTGCAGCATGGATAAAGAGATACTTCAGTTCATTCAAGCTATACAAAAAGCTTGACTGAATTGCTACCATATGCAGAATTTAAGCTCAAGCGATTCGGTGAGGCATTGAATCAAAACAAACACTCCAGAAACTCTGTCTAATTTGAGTAAGAAGCACTCATAATCAACGATGAATCGACACAGATTAACCAAAATTGAAAACCCTTACTAAACAAAGTGAAATCGGTCAGGATGAACGTGTTTATGGCTTTACTGATTAGGGTTTTGTTCTACAGTTAGCGAACATAAATAGTCATTTCATATCAGACCATAAGCAGGGTGTATTCAAGAAAATGTGCGTTGCCAATAAAACAGCACAATAACAAAACTGAAAAGTCACTTATGTCCAAATACCCTGCCATATGTTAGCATTACCAAAACAAGGCAAACAAAACCTCCATTTTTGCAAGGTTGGTCCTCATCAGGTGAGTGATGGCTTAACCCTGCCTCATGATCAGTGTCGTCATTCTTGTGGGCATGATTCCAATCGACGGACCTGCCTGTATCATCATTCTCATACGCTACACGCATATAGTCAATCTTATACACTTCTAGAAGAGGTTCAAAGTCTACAATATCAACTCCTGTTTTCTTTACCTTGAAATGATGATCATCCTCTGTTCCAAAAAATTCTGCATGCACAAGAACAGTGTCGCCGCCTTTCAGTTTCAGCTTTTTGTTTGAAAGATTTCCCAGCCAAAGATAATCTTCACCTGAAGCAATTACGGTGGCATCCATTGGACAGATGGAAAACTGAGTTCGCTGGGTATGATTAGCAACATCAATGCATAGAGACCCAACACACTGGGAGTCGTCCGAAGAATAAACAATGCACACCACCAATGCTCCTATTTTACCATCAATACTTTGCGGCACTTCATATTTGACAATTTCATCTTCAGTTGTGACAGCGGCTAACCAGTAAGGAATTTCATTTCCGGAGAGAAAAAGTCCGCCAAATCCACCCCCGTTCCATTTCTATACCATGTGCAGCAAGATTTCTTTAAGCAACAATGAGAGAGAGAGAGAGAGAGAGAGAGAGAGAGAGGTAGGTTACCTTTTGGATGCTCTCCTTAAAAGGAAGAGTGAGGTTGGTGCACCCTTCCATATGAATGTTTTGCACGTACCCTAACGAGTTATCCAAGTGTGGAATATCTTTGAGTTTGCGGCAGTCTTTCAGTTGCAATTCCGTCATTTTCGACATCTCTGAAAAGTCAGGCATTATTTCCAGTGCAGTGCAGTAATTCGCTCTAAGCGTGTGCAAACTTGTCGGCAAATCTGGGACTGCCTGAAGGTTTATGCAACGATTTAAAAGTAACAACTGAAGCTGAGAAAGGCCACTGAGGATGGGTAGCCCATTAAAACCATTCCCATCTAGAACCAGAATGGTTAGAGAAGATAGAGCCCCAAGATTTTCAAGAACTGCATCATCCGTTATATTGCAGTCACTAAGATCTAAATAAGCAAGCATCTTCAGTTGTGTTAACGAATGGTAACCCGCACACAAACCCTTGCAGCCTTTGAGGATCAATCGATGGAGATGTGGGAGTTTTGAAAAGTCTGGTAATTCAGTCAGGTTATGGGAATGATTAAGAATAAGAAACTTCAACTTCTTGGGTAACTGTTACAAAAAGAGAAAACAAAAAACAAAATCCAAATAAATAAAAGAGAGAATGCATGATTGATGTTGATTTCTACAAAATGAAGTTGTGGAAAGGATTGATAATTATATCGTACCAGGTCGGAATCCTCCCAAAATCGTACGATCTTGCTGTAGCTCAGGTTAAGATAAACTAGGTTTCGTAGATCAAAATCTGCGGGTATGGCTTCAAGAGGAAATCCATGCCAAGACAACAATCTTAACTCCTTGGAAAAATGTTTGTAGCTTCCAGTCAGCTTTACATATTTGGGTAGGAGAAATTTCAGACGCCACATCTTCTTAAATGCATCTGTATGGAAGCTATGCTCGTTAGAATATTCTGGCAAATCCAAAGTTAGTCCTCTAATTGCTTCCGTTCCCTGTTTTGAGATGTAAGTGCAAGTTAAGTAAGAAAAGGATTGTTCATATAACATAACTATGTAGGAAATAAAATGCATTAGATGTGGGATTTGCATATACTTCTCTTTATATGCATTCAACATAACATTTCTGATTGTGATGTACTTACAGAGTCATTACTTAGCACGCTTGTTACATCTTCATGATGCCACAATCGACTACGCTTTCCAGGTTCCATAGCATATTCTACCGGCACAATTTCCCTTCCCATGTCTCGAATCAAATCATGCATCCTAAAAAATCCTCTATCAATATCTAGAAGCATCGATCTTCGAGAGTGTTGATTTCTGATTCTACAGAAAAGCCACTGCAACTATCCAATATTGCCATGACAGTAGCTCTATGCCATCCAATAAAGAAAAAAGATATGTCAAGGAACACACCCTTCACATGATCGTCACTTAAACCATCATAGCTTATTTTAAGCGTTTCATGAATAGTTCCATATGAAATGTTTCTCAACTTATCCAATGTACTTTCCCATATGCTTTTACTCTTTTTCGTAGCCAACAAACGACCTACAACTTTAAGAGCCAGTGGCAACCCTCCACAATAATCAACAACATCTCTTGCGAGTTCAATATATTCATTATCGGGACAATGACTTCCAAAGGCATGCCAACTAAGGAGGTCAAGAGCTTCTTCATCAGTCATTTCTTATGCCTTATATCTTTTATCCACCTTATGTATATTTAACACTTGTTCATCTCTTGTTGTTATAATAATTCTACTCCCTGGACCAAACGATTCATGTTTTATAGCCAATTCATCTAATTGGTCTGCATCATCTATGTCATCAACCATGACAAGCACCTTCATGCTTCCAAGTCTTTTTTCTATCTCTTTGGTTCCTTCAACAACACTGCTTACATTAATGTCAGGCCGTTTCAAAATATCTCGAAGAAGTTGTTCTGCAAGAACAACCATATTTTTCTTTTTACTCCTCACCTCTTCAAGGCAACATAGACCACTAAAACAACGATGATATTCACTACAAATGGCTCTCGCAAGTGTTGTTTTGCCTATACCGCCCATACCCCAAATTCCAATAATTTGAACATCAAGCGAGCCTCCAAAATCCAAGTATTCAGTACTGAATTCTTGCACACAAAAAGCCATTCCAACTGAGCACTTGGCCTGTTTTAAGTCTGTTTTCAGTAGTTCTCTGATGTCCCCAATAATTTTCTCTATAAACAATCATTCATGCTTGAACGTTGAAATTCAAAATTGTACAAAAATAAGATTCATCATGCAACTGCAAGATTCATATGAACTAAATTCCTCATTCATCGTGACCAAATATTTTTAGAGCAAAGAAGATTTGAGTAAATTAGATTGATCCATGTGATTAAGTAAGCTAAACTTGACCAAATTTCTAACCTTGAATTATAAGGTGAGTGAAGTTGAGCATCAAAATCTCACCAAGTCAGGCGTGAAAAAGCCAATGCTCCACATTTTTTCTATTTCATATATACCAATCCTTAGAAAATACACAAGTGAATCTTGAAAAAAACACTTGAAATAGTTCCTAGAAGAAGCATACAACTCTTTCAGAAAGCACTTCCTGGAACCCAAAAATATTTTTTCGGAAAACACTTTCAGACATTTTAAAAACACTTCTAAACGAGCCATAAATCTAATTCAGCCACAAATTTTTGGCAACAATGCTCCATTTTTTTTCCTTAATTGCGTATAAAATCAAATTCTAATTCCTTAATTTTGTCATAGTTCGAATTAAATTTTGTAAAAAGGAATTAAAGATGCACAGTCAGATGTAAAAATAAAATAATAAAAAAAAAAAAAACATAAAAAGGAGAAATTATTGAAGGAAGTAACGAAGAAATTATACCCGTCCGCTGTGATTTTAAGATTCCGGCCACCCAAATCTGCAGAAGCCTTAAGATCCTTTCTCCACTGGTTGACCTCGTTTGGATTTCCATCCCTTTGATGCTTCCGAAATGCTTCCCCAAAACCACCACTCTGTTTCCTCACTTGAGAAGGGTCGACGTCGTAGAAAATTGGATAAACAATCTTCCCCTCTTGATCTTCTCGGCACCTCATGATCTTGGCCAGCTCCCTCAAGCACCACTGAGACTCCGCGTACCTCTTGAAGAAGACACGACGGCGATCCTCGACCCTTCGATTTGTCGGTCAAGTTCGCTCTGTATATTTTCCCCCCTTCTGAGCTGGTAGTCTATAAACGTGTTGATTCCGGCATTGCGTAACGCAATGGAGAGGTGGTCTGTGAAGGTAGTGCGGGTGTCGTCCCCTCTATAGCTCAAGAACACCTCGTACATCCAGCGGTTTGCACGCCGAAAGGAAGATGAAGAGGCGGCGGTTCCATGGGCGGAGCTGCTGGTGTCCATCGATAATCAATTGGTGCAGCTGGCTTTCAAGAAAAGAAAGTCAAACTCTCTGATCGTTTCAGTGTGGCGGCAATTCTGAAGTCGACGGTGTCGCTACGGTGTGAATAACGCGCGGGTACTATTTCCACCATTTACTTGGCTCTGATGGGTCATAACTCACACCCATGTCCAACTTGGCTACTTTCAGTTTTTGAGCCCATAAGTTCTCCAGGGTTACTATTTTTATCTTAATATATCCGTTGTTCAATTTATTATATTCAATGGTCAAAAATTAAGAAATTTGCGAGAAGTAAAAAGAGTATGTGAATGGCATCATCTTTCGTCTCAAATTTATTATGATTTTTTACTTTCTAATTTCCAAATTCCAATGTGTACATTAGCACATGTGGAATCGAAACAAGGGTGAATTTCACATTAAAATCTGTGATCCGATTCTTGAAGATAAGGGATCAAATCAACTGAGGAGAGTAGTTGATATTATTCATGTTTCTTCTTTCCTTTAGCGTCGTGAATTTCCTCAATTTAATTATGTAAATATAGAAACACTGGTTTCTTCACTAACCAACTGAGGCATGTTCACTCGTTAAGTAAAGATATAAATAACTTATTTTTCTATTAAATAAAATAATGATTTTCGATCTAATCCATAGAAAGAAATATTTCTCCTCACGTGACACATTACGCAATTTTACAAGTTGTTGAGGACATATATTAGTTATGACTATGTTTTTATAGCTCACCCCTTTCAAAAGGAATTGTAGTTTCAAAGGCTCAGTCCACCCGAATTTGACTTAATTGGCGTCCCGTGTGGGTTGATCGTGAGGTTTATTTGTGATAAGAACTAATTTGTGTTATCATGTGAAGATGTCTATGATGCTTTTATTGTTGATCCAATTTCGGTTCAGTTGAAAGAAAAAAATTTGTTTTCCAACTGAAACTATGTATTTCCCGGTGACATGACAAGTATGAGGCCTGAATACGGTGTTGTTATGTTTGGCATGGTAACTCGCGGAAAGAGTTTATGCATTTTTACGTATATTTTTACCAAATGAATTTTTCAGGAATTACCATTCATTTTTATGTATATTTCTACCGATCGTGTTTTTGGCCCAGCAATCTGGGCCATCATAAGTGATCCGTAGGATAAAGGTCAGATTTTGAAACTCCTCCGCTTGGAAATCATGCACTGCATGCATTGATTTTGTGGTATTTGACTTCTTTTGTTGTGGGTCGAATGCAACGTGAAGAAAACGAAGGGCGGGGGGAGGTTCATCCAATGACAATGCATATTTAGCTGTTTATAAATTTACTTCTCTGATACGCCTGTAACTCTTTAAGACAATAACAGTAAGTAGGATAGTTGCCTGCATGTTATGATTTTGTTGGTGTGCTTGGAGCTAACGGAAGACTTGGAGCAAAATCGAGTGCAGTGGTGTTTTATGATTCATACAGCCGCCTCCACTTAGTTGGAGAAGGCTTTGTTGTTCTTTACGTTATAACTTTGTTATTAAAGATAGTATCCACCAACTTCTAACAGGCTTTTGTTGGTTTCCTCATTCCTCATTGCTGATGTGAGGTTGGTTTTTAAAAACGCGATTACGTATAATGATGACAGAAGCAATGTTCATGTTATGGCCAAAACTTTGATGGCAAAATCTGAGGAGAAGTGTCTCCAGTTTCTGCCTAAAGTTACGGAGGAGGTATATCCCAACATAATGATTTGGGGTTCGGTTTTGTTGGTTTGGTACTGACAATATCTTAGCATCTTGGTTAATTTCTTGATAATTTGTAACTCCAGAGCAACATACTTCCAGGAAAAAAGGCTAGAAGAGGAGGAGGCAGAAGCCGGCTACTCGTGCCAAAATGGCTAGAGATTTAAGTAATGAGGTCCGTTAAACTAACCTTCTATCTGCGTCCTTCGGTCATCTCATTGTGCGTGTGTGGAGGGAAAGAGTGCCAGCAGCCATATCTTATTTTGAGAACATCGTTTCAGAAAAATGTCAACTGAAGAGAAGCTCAGGTAATTGATCATCAGATTGTCGCCTGAGGATCTTCGCAAGGCGTTGGAGATTACTGCGAAAAGTAATTGATCGTCGATGAGGGTGGACCTTGACATCGAAGCTCAGGTAACGATTTTCATAATTGATCGTCGTCTAACTTCTCGTTTGTTCATACTTCCAAGTTCTTATACTATATTCTTGCAGACTCATTCTACCTAGTGGAGGTTGAAGTTTATTGTGAAGGATGCTGTAGAAGTTAAAAGCAAGAGTCCAGCAAGCATGGGTGGCAACACCAACAACGCTGCTAACAACCACAACAGCGGCAACAAAACTAACAAAAAACATCAGAAACGCTACTAATAACCGAAAAAGAGAGATTTCTGACGGGATCGTCAAAACTGCCAAGAAAAAGAGAAAAAAACCATCTCCTTGATCATGTGATGCCATGCGAGAGAACATTAGGTTGTGCTTAAGGTCCTTTTTATTTTAGTTTTATAGTTTTTTGGTTCTGGCAACTTAATTTTTTCGCATTTGACCAAGTTTTATTCGTAGTGCTTCATCTCTCATTAGTTTTAGATAATGCGAGGTAGATCAATTTTTTAGATTAAATTTGTAAATCATATGATGTATTACCAATAGGAAATAAGAACGTTAATAACAACCCCGCTATATGGTTTGCAAAATATGGTCTAAATAGATGGTCTCCTGATCATTATCCGTTAATTCTTACGACAACGTATGTACATCTTATAATAGTTCTAATATAATCAGAATTACGGTTGAGTAACCTTGATCTTGTCATGTGTGTGTGTGTGTATATATATATATTTATTTATTTTCACTCAAATGATGTTTTATATGTGTTGTATTAAGAAATTCAATTACACATTCTCAAGAGTTTGTCGTTTGTTTAAGCGAGTAAAAGGTATTTATCCATACACTTTTTAAGCGTTTGTGTTCGATTTCTGTTTCCATAATATTGCTTGGATGAAACCACAAATTCCGACATATTTTGTTCTATAATTAGGAAAAAGTTGAGAATTTTTTCTTTTTTGCTAATTAGGGAAAAGTTGAGAAATATATGTGGATTAGTTTTGTTGACCACAATACTATGTGCGTACTATTTAAAACTTTTGAGATTTGTTACTATTTGTGCAAGATTTATTAAAGATTCAGACCAATCAACGGGTATTTGTAATGTAAAAGACCTTTATGTTATTATTATTTGAACATTTTGAGATTTATTACCATTTCTGGTGTTGAAGATTCATACCATTTAACGACTATACATGCTTTTTTGTAAATATTTGGAGATTTGTTACCTTTCATGCCAAATTTTATTAAAATTGCATACCAAACAACAACTATGAGTCTAGAGTAGTATGTCTGCCTCTTTGTATCAATTATTTATAAATTTATTAAATATTTGTACCAATCAACGACTATAAGTTAATAAAAATATGCGCGCTTCTTTGCAACGACTTTTTAAATATCTAAAATTTAGTTACAATTCGTGCAAAATTCATTTAAATTTCGTACCAATCAACAACTATCAGTCGTCCACCCCAAATCTAATATAATGAAAACCAAAATCTAATACCAACAATGAAAACCAAAATCTAATACCAACAATTTCTAATAAGAAAACAATTTATAACAAAATCTTAGTCCATAGAAAAACGAGGGTAACAAAATCTATGATCCACATCAGACTGACCAAGTGAAAGCAGGTCAAAGAGAAGCCGCCAGTCGTATGGCCCAAACTCCATAGCTGCTGAGCTCATGTGAGACAAAGGGAAGACGAGAGATCGCTGCGTATATAAACCACTTCCAACAACATCAAGCGACTGTGTTTCGTCGTGTACCTTCAAGTCCCCACCCGTCCAATCAGAGAGTCTGCGTCGAATCACCCAATCCCAACCCGGATTCGACGCGGAGTCCCAAAACCGATTTCGTAAACTATTCAAATCGGCCGCGTAACGGTCGATCGAGTCTGAGTTTTTATTTTTATTTTTCTGAAAGGAGGAGGGCAGAGTGATGGCAGCAGGACTGAGCTGCTGAGTGAAACCTGTTGGGGTAAATTGACACTCTCGGCTAGGTCGATTTGAACGAATTAAAATTGGGTTTTGATTTTGTTGGAATTTTGATTTTTGGTTTGAGATTTTTTATTGTTTTCGGGTTCAGGTTGGGCTCGATTTCGGTGGAATTTGCGAATTGGGAGCTGAAATTGTTTCAGTGATTGGTGTTTGGTGGGCAAAGAGAAATGGATGTGGTGGCTGAGTGCAAGGTAAAATGGTTTGATTTATAGTGGTTTAATTCAAATTTTGTGGTTTGTTGATGCAATGTGGCATTATAATTGCATTCTGAATTGGCATTTGAGAGGGGAGAGAGAGAGGATCAAAGTGTCATGTTTGCTGTTCTGTATAATCGAGAGAGAGAGAGAGGGTTCAGGGAGGGACGGAGAGGGAGTGAGGAGGGGTGGGGTGTGGGGTGTGGGGAGAGAGAGAGAGGGCAGGGATCAAAGTCTCATGCTTTCCGTTCTGTAGAGTCAAATCAAATTACTTGATTCAGTCATTAGTTTCTTGTATTGATATGTGGTCCGTAGTCAAAAGTTCACATGCATTTATGTGCGAGTGTATGTTGTTTTCCCTCCCTCTCTGATATATGTTTGACCTCCAGAGAAAATTGGCATCCTTTCGAGTCACAGACCTTAAGAATGTTCTGACTCAGCTGGGTACGTCAAAGCAAGGGCGGAAACAGGTATGTTATTTGATATAAGATTGGTCTGCATTTGCCTATAGTTCTTAGATGTTTCTTGTCGCTGAAAATTGGTGGCTCTTAGCTTCTTTCTTCATTATATCCTTATCTGCTCATGAATTTACTCACCTGTGTGAGTGCACTTCGAAGGGAGTTATTGTCTACTGAGGCTTCGTATGCATTCAGTAGATGCCCATTTATGCTTACTTCTAAGCATGCGATCTTTGTAGTGATCTTTCACTTACAAAATCCAAATGACTGATAATAGTTTCTTTGAGTTCTTTACACACGTGCTGTCTCAATCATTTTGTTTATTTATCATATTTTGCCAGTCTTGCATCGACGTACGGTTTTACATTTTCTTAGTTTTCGCTTGTAGCTTCCAATCAGACATCTTTGAACCACTTAATCATTCATTGTTATTAGAAGTTTAGGCAGCCCAATTTAATTCTTTATGTTTGCATCCATGCTTAACAGCATGTTGAGAATCATTGACTTTTCTGTGCAGGATCTGATTGATAGAATCTTAGCAGAAGTTTCAGATCAACAAAGTAAGTTCTTCATACAACTTTGTCGTACCTACAATTAGTTCAGAATCTGTCTGAAAAATACAATAGTCATTGCCCCTCTTTAAAAAATGCAATAGTCGACTATGACTACAAGTACAACCCAAGCAGTATTGCATCCTAATGTCACTTATGGCGGGTTTTGGTTAGGCGTCTAGTACATCCAGGGTATCTAGAAATTTTACTCTGAAATATTTATCCGCTGACCTAGTTCTTGATAATTGATCAAATTAGATTAATCTTCTTTTACAGGGTTCTTAGCAGCATCCAATGCACTCCATCCATCAAAGAAAAAATTCATTGAGAAGAAAGGAATAGCAGAACTGATTGGTGAAGCTTACAGGTGCTACTTTACTTTAGTGTTTTTGTATATGTTTTTTCCGTTTAAGGTTTTACTTTTCCTCTTTTTAAGTTGTGCATTTTTTTGGGCTTATCCTTTATTCTATGAAATGTGTGTTGCGACTACTGATTACAAAAAGAAAATCTGTGATTTGACGCCCCTTCTTTTGTATTTCCTTGTATCATTTTTCTGTGTGTTTGGAAATCTTTATAATCATTCTCCTCTCTATCTAATGACCTTTTGATTGTTATATTACTTGTCTTGTCCCAGAAAATTGCCGAATGCACCGTCAGTTGATTCTGCTTCAAAGGAACAGAGTGGTTCAGACACCTGCAGTGTAAAACCTAAAAAGGAAGTTAAAATTTTTAATGATCCAGATGTGAAGATTCACTGCCCCTGTGGAAGTGCATTGCCTACTGGGTCAACGATACAGGTTTGGTAGCATTTGCTTTAGTTCATAACTTCATATAAATCCTTTTTAGTTTATGCGGTATTGGCTGGATATTTCTTCAGGTTTGCATGAATGTCAGGAGCATTCCAGCATCCATTTCATATTCAATTCATTGGTTTTTAGAACAAATTGGAAGTATTGGACCATACCTAATTCCGGTATATGTTATCTGCAGTGTGTGGACCCAAGTTGTCAAGTGCAGCAACATATTGGTTGTGTTATTATCACAGAGAAAACAGGGGATTGCAATGTACCAGTTCGGCCTCTTTTCTACTGTGAATTGTGTCGTCTCAAACGAGCAGATCCGTAAGTATCGTGCATTTTTCAATTTTAACTTAATTGAGTCTTAAATCTGAAATGAACTATAGTTACAATTGGCAAAATGATATTTGGTTTTGCCACGTGAAAGGTAATCTTTATGATTGGTTTTCAAAGACATGATTGATGGTTGAAACAGGTTACTTGTGTTAAAATGTCTTAAGTTCCTTATTTACTATGTTAGGAAGGTTACTGAATATGAACTCTACCACTTATTCAATTTTATTGACTTATGCCGGAACTTAGGTTCAATGCGATAAAGGTGTTTTTTATTTATCGATTTTTTTGGGTTAGCTCATCCTATTTTGCTTTAATTTTATTTCCCCTCCAATGAGTCCTAGATATATTTGCATCTGTTCAGTTTTTGGGTGACTCTGGTAGATCTACTATCTCCGGTGAAACTAGTTACTTCAAATATTCCAATAGATGGGTAAGTCTCTCTCTCTCTCTCTCTCTCTCTCTCTCTCTCTCTCTCTCTCTCTCTCGTAATCCCTTCTGTTGTATTTTGTCTTAACATGTTCATCAATGTTTTCAGTACAAATCCTACTCAGAGAGTAGAGAAGACATTTCTACTTTCTAGAGCCAATAGTGATATACTAAAGGATAATGAATATGATGTTCAGGTTTGTTTCATTTTGGTTATGCAATAAGTGATGGTTATATTTATTGACCAGTTGTGGTCATTTATTGAAGATTTACTTTGAGAATTAGTTATTTATAAGTATTTTTTTTATACAGGCTTGGTGTATACTTCTTAATGATAGTGTTTCATTTAGGATGCAATGGCCACAGTATGCAGATTTACAGGTCAATGGTACGCAATTTGGTCATCCTTTTCCATTCCACCAATTGATCATGCTTAAATTTTACCTGGACAGTTTTTTCTATAAAAAATAAAATGAAATGTGACCATGCAATCTGCATTTCTCTGTCCTCTCTCTCTCTCTTCCCCTTACCTGTCTTTTCTCCTGTCCCTCTTTCCTTAAGAGATGTGCCTAAGAAACTGTATTATTCGGTATGTCGGCTCGATTGGCCGACTTTTGAGATTGATAAAACGAAATTACCCTTTAAAAATCCACATGAAGCTTGCCTTGCAATGGTTGTGACCTCTATTGTTTGTTCTTGATATAACAAATTTGACGTTCTGCATCCACAAAATGTCTAAAACTGTATACGTGAAATACATATAAGTAGTTAGGCTAGTTATCATCTACTCATGTGGCCAAAAAAAAAAAAACTATTGCTGTTTACTGAGTTTGTACGATATTAGGCCACCTTGGATGACCCATGAATTAAAGTTTTTGTACTACAGGTCTACTATTGTTTTTCCAGTTTATTTTTGTGAAGGTAAATGCTTCCTGAATTTCAACTTACATTTCAATTTGTTCCCTATTTGCAGGTATTAATGTTAGGACAGTTAATAGACCTGCACATCAATTGTTAGGTGCCAATGGTCGTGATGATGGAGCGTTAGTGAGTATTTCACTTCTGAGTTTTATATGTTTATAATGATTGTCAATCTCATAATTCAAGGCATTTCACTTGTAATCCTTGCATTGCTCATTCTTGATAGAGATTAAGACTCATTCGTCATTCCATTAAGTATACATGTATTTTTGGAGCACCATGCATTGCATTTTCCTTTTTGCTGCAAAGTACTAGAATTATTTGGTTTATGCATCTTGAATTGTTGTGCACTTCATTTGTGGCCATTTCTGGTGGTTGTTTTATAGTTTTCATATTATAAACATTTTAGTATTAAACTTTTCTTTTATATAATTAGATCCATGCGCTTTAAGAAAATGTGCTTCGGTTTAATTTGATTTACTTTTTACTTTCATGTCAGATCAAATTATGCATTTGGGAGGGAATCAATAAGATTTCACTATCAGCATGTGATAATCGTGCTTTCTGTTTTGGTGTCAGACTTGTACAGCGACGAACAGTTCAGCAGGTACATCCAGATTCTTTATTTAAAGTGTTTTTGAAAGAGAAGAACTAAGTTATGGAATATACGCTGGTGAGTAGAGCTGGTTAGCTCACTCAATAAGTTATGTGGATGGTACTCGTGGATGGATGCAATTATATATCTGTAATCTGCTGTCCTTGGCACTAGATTCTAAGGACACCAAACAGAAAATTCAGTATGTACATGAGAACTTCCCATAAGCATGAATACGCAGATATCTTTTATTGGACCATCGTAGAATCAAGGAAACATTGTTGATCCATGAAATAAATCTGAAAATTTTGAGAATATCATTCTAGTTCACTGCATTAAATTCTGAGAAATACCTCAAGATGTTGAAGGGAAGCTAAACATATCTGGATAGCATGTCATCTCACCAGCTGCTTTTCTGCTTTATTCAACTTTTTATCAAGGTTCGCCACTTGATTCCTAAAGAAGAAGATGGTGAGCTTTTTGAAGATGCACTAGCACGAGTTCGTCGTTGCATTGGCGGTGGGCCTGCTGTTGCAGCTGAAGATAGTGATAGTGACCTGGAAGTAATTTCAGACTCAATATCAGTAAATCTCCGCTGCCCTGTAAGTGATGGTTGTTTTCTTTTGATATTTTCACACCCTTTAACTGCATGCCCATGTTAATGTTATTTTACTTGTTTCTAGTCATACTTGAGTGGTAGTTTTCGATCAAGTTTTGCAATGTTTGGATTATTAGAATGCTAGGATGAAGCTTTGCATCTTGAGGCTGCCCATAAATATTGAGCTTTTTGGTATTTTTATTTTTATTTTTTATAATATACACCTTAGAGGCAAACTAAGGCTTATATCTTTATTTAAAACTTCAGAAATGTTAGGAGAGTAGTCTGTATTAGAGGCATTAGGTCGGGTTTCCTTGTGTCTATCTTAGGAGTGCGGTCCACTGAAACCGTTAAGTCCTAGGGATGTCCTGGTGGTCATCCCTTTATCACGCCCATAGACCCATTGTTTCTCAGCATAGATTGTACCACCCTTTCTTCATACTGGTTTTGTAAGACTATCTGTCGTTAGATCCATACTGACAAGGATCCATACTGACTATGCTTGCCTTCCTGCTGACCACTTAATTATAAGACCACAAAACCGGCCTTGGCCGATTGAGCAGTCAACAGGCTGGTCGATCCCAAGGAAAAATGTACAGCTCACAGTCCTTAGCCACAAGCAGCGGATCACAGACAATGAGCTGCAATTTGCAGTCTGATATGTCATCTTTGGTCATTTTGTTATGGCTTATTTATAGCAATTAAGTTGATTTTTGAAAATATCAGTAAAGTCGGTGTATATAAGCCTTGTTTGTAGTGTAGAGCTCATAATTAATGCTGTCTATGACATAATGTTTACATGTAACCGTCAGATGAGTGGTAGTCGAATGAAGGTAGCTGGCAGATTCAAACCTTGTGCCCACATGGGTTGCTTTGATCTTGAAACTTTTGTGGAGCTAAACCAACGCTCTAGGAAGGCAAGTGATACAATAAGCTTATAAATTTTTATTTTTATTTTTTACAAAATCTACAAATATGTAAATGATGTGTTATGGTTGCAGTGGCAATGTCCTGTATGCCTGAAGAACTACTCTGTAGAGGATGTCATCATTGACCGTTATTTCAATCGCATTACAGCTATGGTAATTTCTGTAAGGATTAATCTTATTTTATGTAGTGTCTCTGAATCTTGTGGAATCAAAGACATTTTTCATTGTTTATCTGGTGGACAGATGCGAAATTGTGGAGAAGACATAACAGAGATCAACGTAAAGCCAGATGGTTCTTGGAGTGCAAAGACCAAAGGTGAGTTTGGTGATCTTGCGCAGTGGCATTTGCCAGATGGATCTCCATGCGGTGATAGTCATTTAGAACCCTCGAGGAAGTTGAAGCTGGAATCTGGTTTAAACGAAGATCATAGAGTTATGTATAATGGGGTTACTGAAGTTCGTGGGCATCAGCATGGCCCATTAGAGAAAGTATATGAGGGCTGCAGTCACAATGTAATAACAATGAGCAGTAGTGACTGCAGCGGGCACATGGATTTCTCTGTAAATGAGGACAATGAAATCAATTCTGTACCATATAATTCTGATCCAACGTTTTCAAATATGAATGGTGATTCTGCTGAAGCTAGGAATACTGACATCATCATTCTTAGTGACTCCGAAGAAGAAGATGCCAACTTTGTTTCTTCTGGAACCCCGTACAATCCATTGCCAGTAAGTGGAACAGATTCTGGGTTCCAATTCTTCGGTAATGTCTCTGGTTCTTTCATTGATAACACATTGGTTCCAGAGGATCTAAATTCGAGCACCCAAGTTATGAACTCTTCTATGTTCCATGCCGATGCTGGATTGGACTTGATTGAAAACACCTTGCCCCTTGCTAGTGAGGACCCCTCACTGCAAAATTTTCTTCCAACTCAGCCCTCGCCTTTGTTGGAACAGTCCGATTCTGGACATCCTCCTCCTGAATCAAACGGCATTAGTGGGGACGACTGGATCTCTCTTCGACTTGGCAGGGTCGATGAAAGTGTTCCCAATTCCTGCGCTGGACATGCATCCACAAATGAAGTACAACTGAGTAATGAATGTGAATCAGATGAAGGTAAAATTTTTGTCTATTAAACTTTGTTATTGTTTGAACAAGATTTTACTTAATGGTGAAATGTGGGTAATATTTATATTATGTGTGATTGTAATAATGCTTCAAATAAACATTGCCCGTTTTGATGTTTGTTTGAGGCTGATGTTTCGTATATGAATCCTTTGCAGCTACTCCTTTAATTAAGGATAGAACTGATGAGGTTAGGTCTAACAAAGTAAAGTCACGGAGATTTTCAGATGGACCCTTCTCCTTTCCTCGTCAGCCGAGGACTTTGAGACAACGAGTTTATCTACCAGTAGAATCCAACTCTTAATAGAAAAAGTTGGTGCTTGCAGAGGTACACAACTCAGTTTTCATAGTCTGCTTAGATTGTTGATTCTGAATGTTCTCGTATTTGTTTTTCATTTATTTATATAGGATAAGCAAACCCCTTCATGTTTGTAAATTCAAGGTTTCAGCCATGCCTTTGCAATGCAAAGTTGTTTTTAAACCAGTTTGTTTTGTGCTGAGCCGTAAATTTAAAACCTCGCTGTTGGTGTGATGGATTCAAGTATCAATAATGTTGATTTTGGCAGGTCAATGTCTTAATTACCTAGAGATGCATCACAAAGTAGAAGTCGGCTGAATTGCATGTGTGTGTGCGCGAGCGCGTGTGAGCATGCTTGTCTTAGCAACCCTGGAGCTAATTGCATTCTCTGACAGTTTTAATTTTTGTCTTTTCAGGTAACTTGTATACTTTCAACTTGGTGATTTTGTTGAAGTTGCCAAAGAATCAATCTCTATGCAGATATTTTTGACAATTGGACATAGCGGAAGTTTCACCGTAGTAACATATGCAACGGTGCTCTTTTTGTGTCAGCGGACTAGACCAACAAGGATTAAAACCTTTAGTTGTTTTACCATGCTGAGATGCCTCTGTAAATAGAAAAGGGTTCTATCTTTTAGGTTTTTAGCTGTAATGTAAGCAATGCTTGTTCCTCATGAGAGTAGCAGTGAGGAACCGTTGCATTAGCGACGATGGTAGCTGGACTTCAGTAAAATTGCGAATTTTCGGTTTAAATGTTTGCCCAACCTTTTCCCTCTGCAAGCGGAGAGACGGGAAGAAGAAACGGTTGCCAAGAGTGAAGTATGCTAGAACGTCCATGGATTAGTGCAAGTGTTTGAAAGATATGGAATTCTGCAGTCTGCAGACTATGATGTTTCTGCAATCTGGGTTCGAATTATATTCGGTAACAATTTGTGAGTTTGAATTTTGTATTAGGATTATGAGTAAATCAAAGTTTGTATACAGGTAATTATCAATATTTGGGAAACAAAACAGCAGGGATTTGGGAACTGTTGAGGCACAAAGTATGTCATCCCGCCGCCAAATAACACCCATCGCAGATGCAGTTCACTGCCCATCATCGGTGACACATGAAACGGGTGCACGTCCGGTCACCCTCTCAATGATGATCGACTTTTGAATGCATCTTCGGGTTTATATTCTCGATCTCTTTGTCTACTGGTAAACCAGATCGAAACACTTAAAACACTCCACTCCTTCGGTCTGAAATCTCATCTCTAAGCATTATGATGTAGATGCTTGTGTGTTTATATACAATTCTGAGAAGCAAAAAACATCATTAACTAATATTAGGTTGTAAGCTTAATTATTGGGAGAGAGAATAGAGAGAAGGTGGCCGTCTAGAGAAGAGAGAAGGAGATAATGGCTTGCAGAATTGCTTATTGCACGGGTCGACTTTATTTAAGGTTGCTATATATGAGACTACGATCCATATGCAATAATCCAACTAATAACTAATTAATCTTGGCAGCAGCCGCCATAGCAGACGCCGACGACAATACCAATGAGAAGGCAATGGCAGCCAGAGCAGCAAGGGTTGCTGGTATAAGTGCATGCAGAACCCTGGCAGCCATTGTTCTTGTTCACCACTCCACATTCCTGCAGCATCTTCAATTCTGCGGTGGCGGCCGGATCTGTTGCTACGGCTGTTTCGAGTGTTTTCTCATCGTGATGACAGATAGCAAGGCTCCCCATTGGAGCCAACAAAGTCATCACAATTAGCACCACCCACATGAACTTATTGAAACTCAGTGTGCTATGCTTCATGATATAAAGAATATAAGACTCTTATTACTATTCTATAAAATCATGATCGACTTTAATTTATAGCTGCGAATTTGGAGAACGTGACTGTCACACTTCAAAACTTCTCCCGTAGTGTCTTACATGTTACGTGTTGATGCACTTGAACTAAATTTGTATGAGTGTTTTTGTACATGTAGCTAGCTACAAGGCTAAATTTAGCTAGGATTTATATATTTGCATTAGTACTTAATTCCAACACGAATGTCTCCCAAAATCCACGAGAAATTTACTGTAACTATAAAAAGATATACATAACCTTTGAATCTTCCTAGCATTACTATTAATACATGCACATCCACTACAAGCAAAACAATGTCCCACTATCCCACGCAACAAATTTCCTCCCCTTCACCGGTTGTCGAGACCAAAAGTTCAAAACCCTAATTTAATACCACTTATTTTTCCTTTCTTTATAGATGGGGAAGGGGTTAGGGGATTCATACTTGTAAGCTCTTTCGATATTTAAAAAAAAAAGCTACTAGATTAATCGCTAGCTAGTTTTTGTAAGAGGAAATTAAATTAAAGAGAAAGGTTCCTAAGAGAGTCAAGTTAAAACTCTTGTCTAGTACAAAGAAAGAGACGAATCTAACCAAATACAATCAGAGACATGCTAATGCCCAAAATTAAGCGCTAGGTATAATTAGTAATTTACTATCAGCATGTTGATGCACAAGAATTGGAGATACAGAAATAGGGCAACCTGGGTATCTTTTAGGTCTATTGTCCCACAAGTAGTTCTTATGGAGTATTTCAATGGACACCCAAAGTTCACCTTTCCTTTGGACACCTTAATTAGTACATGGTTTTAAGGTATACTTTGATCCTAAGTAGCACAACAATTTCAGTTTTGGCCAACTCTCCCAGCTGCAAGCAAAACGTCACAAGAAAACCAAACTGAACTTCATAGCTCCGAATAGAATATGTATACTAGACAACAACAGAACATAATACAGCCAACAGGAACGTATACATGTATGTATATATTCACGATTAACATTATTTCATTTTACATTAACCATCCATCGGACCGGTAGCTATAGATTAATTATGATTGGTGGCAATGCATGCATGCATGCAGATTAATACATGGATTTTTTCACGAAGTAATATAGTGAATGATACAGAGATAGAGCTTAGCAACATCGCTGCAGATGCCAAAGGGAAAAAGGTTAATGGGTACGCAAACACAGCCGAGCTGGCAAGGGGCCACAAAAAAAATGCATGGGGAGCCTCTACACCCATTGATCGTCGACTTTCCTACTTTTCCTTTTGATTATCTTTGAGTTTAGCTTGTTCATCTTCCTTGACATGATCAATTCCTCACTATTTCTGCCCTTCTCATTGTTACAAGTACTTGTTATAACCACCCCATTGCCATCGTTGGCATCTGTCTTGGCATCAAATTTGTCGTAGACGTTGGCGTCACATTAATTTGGCGCTGATCTGTTGTCGTCGACACTGGCATCACATTTGGCATCAGTAGTGGCGTTACATTAGGCATCAATATTGGCATGAGTAGAATTGGATTTGGGCATTTCAATTTTCTTTTGGTCGCCAAAGGCAGTTGGAGGAAAGCCTGGAAAGGTCACGACAAGAACCACCATGGCCACTAGCACAAAACATGCCTTCTTACTCAACGCAATAGCCATTTGTGTGTTTGTTTTGTAAGTAGTTCTTGTATGCATGCACGCCTCTCCTTCGAAAGCACTTATTTATAGGCATGAATTATGAAGAACCAATTATAAGTGCATTATTCGTGAGGGAAGTAAGATTATACCATGCAGCCTAACTTAGATACCATGTAACAGGTAAAAGAACAATATCCACGCAATCTTCGTGCATGCATTCTTTTGTTTTTGTGGAAACCAACTACGCCATGCATCTCCCATGAAAGATGTTAATAGAGGACTAATTTCATGAACAACGTCAAATACTTTGAGCTAATTATTCCAAGAGTACTTCATATTACTCTACAAACAGAGACGGATCTACAGAGGGACCTGGGAGGTCCCAGGACCCCTCGGCGATTCTAAAATGCTACTAGAAATTTAAACACGAGGTCTGTACTGTAGGCTCCAGCTTGAAGGTTGCAGCTTGCAACGAAGACGAAGACAGCGGGGCCGCGGGGGAGAAGAAAGAAAACAAACAGGCCTTTTAAAAAATTGGTCCAAAACGCAGTGTTTTGGCCAATTTGTTTAATTTGTTTATTTTTTATATTTTATATTTTTTTAAGCCTGAGATAAACGGTGCCGTTTGTCCATGATTCCATACTCTCTTTTTTAAGGCCTAGCCCCACACGGGCCATCTTTCCCAAGAGTCCTTTCCCTATTCCTCTGTTTTGCCCCGCTAATCCCCCCCTCTTTCTTATATTCACCCAATTCCAAAACCCTAAATTTCTAATCCCACCCAATCCCATATTATAATTACATTACTCTAATATCATACTTCCACTTGTTTCAATTCTCCAAGCCACCACTATTTGGTTCAAAATTCAAGTAAACTTTTTGGTATTCTAATCTAATCTCAATTAAATTATATTAGATATTGATGGAGATTTTTAGTCTATTAGTGATATGATTGTTGATATGTTTTATGTTTGTATACTCATTTTATCATTGAAATTTAGATGAAATTTTTGTTTATTGGTTGATTGGTATATGTTTTGTGTTTTTGGTTAAATGTGTAGTTTAGAAATAAGAAATATGGAAAGATTTTTCAAGCCAAGCCAATAGCACCATCTACTTGTTCGGATAGTTCAAGCTCAAGACAAAATGAGTGTGACATTGATTTTAATAATCTTGAGAGAGACCCGGGAAAAAGAATTCGAATGAAAGACTATCCTTCTAATATTCAAGATGAGGTCCGAAGAGCATATTTGCAAATGGGACCTTGTAGGCCTACAAAGTATGAGTTCCCATTTTGTGCGTTTTGATAATGATTTTTCTCAATTGCGGGGGATTAATGAGCTTGCTAAGAAAATGATGGAGAAAGGGTTGCATCAAACATTTGCATATGTATATTTGGTTGTTCAGTTGACTTTGGTTTTACCAGTTGCAACTGCTTCAGTGGAGATGATATTTTCCGTTATGAATATCATTAAGAGTCCACTTCGCAACAAAATAGGAGATCAATGGTTGAATGACAACTTAGTTGTTTACATTGAGAAAGATGTTTTTTCATGTATTGGTAATGAAGCTATCATGGAACATTTTCAGACTATGAAACCTCGTCGTGGACGCTTTAATTAGGATTTTATAGCTTGTAATGTTGTTTTGCACATGATTTTTGAATGAAATGTATTATATTTAACTTTTCGACGTTATTTTTGTCTATAAATTTTTTGACCTTTATTATTGGGATCCTCCGAGTTTAAAATTCTAGATCCGTCACTGTCTACAAACATTGTGTTTCATTGGATTATTGTAGTAAAATAATTTTCGCACACTCATTCATATATATTACTCTACAAACATTGTGTTTCGTTGGATTATTGTAGTAAAATGATTTTCGCACACTTATTGACAAAGGCAGTTAAAGCTCACTGGGGCATTTGTCAAGCCCCTCTAAAGTTTTGTGGGGGAAATAAATTGTGATGCATACAGAAGGTGTAGAGAACATATTGACCATATATTGTTCCTACTCTTCCAAATGATAAATATATATAATAATTAAAAGGTATGTGAGTTGAATTTACCATAATTTTAATTAGTACTTTAATTGACTTTTAGTTGATATTTTAATATGTAAAAAAATAAATAAACCAATCAAGGTAAAACAATGCTAACAAATACAAGTGGTGGCTTAGTGAAGTTTGAGGGGAAAAAACGAAGTTATAAGAAATATTTTATATTATGAATCTATGATGAACTTTTTATTCTCATTTATAGATTCATAACTAGAGGTTAAGGCAACTCTTACTAAAGAATGTTGAGAATGAATCCCACATTAATGAGAGGACGAATCTTGTATGTGTTTATAAGAGCAACTCCACCGGGGGGAGAGTAGCCCGATAGACCTACGACTGAATAGGACCCAAAAGCCCCAACTTCAAGCTCCAGCCCATGCAGGCGATTGGGCTAAGGGGGGCCCAAGAGCATGTGGGCTAGGTGATGCCAGGCTGACATCAGCCACGATTTAATTACTTTTGCGTCACGCGCGTGCATAACATGCGTGCATCCTCGAA